AGAAGGGGCTGGGATGGGTGGTGGGAGATGGGACATCCATTAGTGTGTGGAATGACCCGTGGCTCTCATCCTCAACACCACATATCCCTTTTGGTCCTCCCACCAAAGATAACTTATCGCTTACGGTTAAAGATCTCCCTCATGTCGATAACAGTTGGAACGTGGAAGCTATTCGCACACACTTACCTTAGTATGAGGATCAAATCCGAAGTATACACCCGAGCTCTCATAAAACAGAGTATCGAATGGTGTGGTTACCTGCAAAGTCAGGGGTTTACTCAACAAAAACAGGGTACAATTTGGACACAGCAATAGCTTCGGCAGACCCGTATGAAGAGTTTAATTGGCTGACTAATGTGTGGAATGTCCGGACAGCCCCGAAATTGAAAAATTTCTTGTGGAAAGTTGCCAACAAGGCTCTGCCAATGGGTCTATCTCTCGAGAGACGCGGGCTGGCAGTGGACACTAAATGTATATGATGTGGAGCAGTGAAGGATGAAATGCATTTGTTTATCTTATGCCCATATGCAGCCCGAGTTTGGGAATTGGCTCCCACTATGAACAAGCCGCCGGTGAATATAACCTCTTCCATTAAAAGTGTGCTTACGGATATGCGGAAAATGGTGAATTTACCTCCATCGGGACTAACAACTCCCCCCCCTTTACCCCTGGATCCTTTGGCACTTGTGGAAGGCACGGAACCAATGTGTGTTTGGGGACCATCGCTTCACAGAAGAGGAAACCATAGTGAAAATTATAACCGATGCAAAGCTGTGGTAGTCGGCACAAGAAACCCAAAGACGGGTGGAGAAACCAGCTAGAGAAGCTGGAAATCACCATCAAGCTAGTACCACTTGCTTTGTGGATGCTGCCTGGAATAGCGCTACACGTTCGTGTGGATTAGGAAGGATAATCCTAAGCTCAAATGACGTTCCCCTGTTTTGGGATTCGACCGCAAAAACATTCATACCCTCGGCTCTATTGGCGGAGGGACTTGCACTCAAAGAAGCTTTATTGGCTTGTCTAAGAGAGAATTTTCTCTCTCCAAGAGTCTGCTCAGACTTTCTAGTGCTCATCACACTAATCCAGGATGACGAAGATTCGATAGAGATAACCAGAGTTCTCTGGGATATCAAATGTCCGAGGCTTCTCTTCTCATCTATCTCGTTTTCTTTTATTCCTCGCACGAAAAATATTTTAGCAGATTCTCTAGCAAAATATGCTCTGTCTTCTCTTAATGTAGTCTCCCCAGTTGGGGTGTAAGAACTATCCTTTATTTATGAAATCTGGTTTGAACCCAAAAAAAAAAACGTCATGCTTTAGGGATATTCGCAGGAAATCATAAATCATGAACTAGACAATTATTCAGGGAACGATTTAGCGCAATCTCGAACTCAAACATAAATATAAAATCAATCCACTGTCGTGGCATCAATCACTTTATCTAACAACCTAGAATTCTAAATTGTCGTTTGAACCTAGAATTCTAGACAAGCATTAATGAGCATGTTCTATTTGTTCACGAATTGCCTTAGCATCAAGTTTCGTTAGCTAAGGACAATTCGCTCACTTATGTTCTATCAAGCAACCTATAGCATTTTTGGTGAATAGATTTAACCCTAAATGAGAGA